CCCTTAACACTTCATTAGATGGGATTTTCCCTGCAATTTGTTTCTCTCTCTCTCTCTCTCTCTCTCTCTCTCTCTCTCTCTCTCTCTCTCTCTCTGTAGCCTCTTTAATAAACCTCTCTACCTCATTAGGTGGCTGGAGGCGGGAGCTAGGAGAAGCCGTCCTGGAGCTGGTTTTAAAGGTAATTAGAATCTTATCTCTTTAATTTAAAACTCCCTAGCTTTTACTCATGAATCGAACCTTCTTTAATGAAGCCAGTGCTGGTCGTGTGGCAGACCCAGGTACATACCTGGGAGAAATGAAAACACATGTCTGTACAAAAACTTGTGTGCAAATATTCATAGCAGCATTATTAGTAATAGTTCAAAAAGGGAAATAGTCAAATATTCACCAACTGATGAGTAAAATGAGTCAATTCCTTCAATGTAACCTTATTCAGCCATAAGAAAGAATGAAGGTCTGAGCATGTAAAATAACATGGATGAACCCTGAAGATTTTACACTAAGAAGCCAGACGAAAGGTCACATAGTGGATAATTCCACTTCTGTTATGTCCAGAATAGGCAAATCTATGGAGACAGAATGGAGATGAGAGGACGCCTAGGGCTGGGTGAACCGGGGGGAAATGGTGAATGACTGCTAATGGGTACTGACAGGATTTCTTTTGGAGGTGATGAAATATTCTGAAGTTGATTGTGGTGATAGTTGCCCAACTCTGATGTGTACTATAAACCCCTGAGTTGTACACTTTAAATAGGTGCATCACAGCGTATGCAAATTACATCTCAATAAGCTATTAAATAAAAAGGAATAGGTGTCCAATAGAAAAAGCTACTCTTTAACCTTTCACACTGACACACACAATGGCCCAGATAGCACTTATAACAACTGCCAGGAGGACCCTGAGGAAGATCAAATAACTGCTGAGCAGAATTCAAAAGGTACATCAAATCTCCCTTGCTGCATGACATATGAAGTCAGAATGCCAATTCACCTGTCCAGAAACAGGGAGGGTCAGAAAGAGAATCCAAGGCATGGCTTTGTTAAACATGATTCAAAGAAATAAAGGGAGGCAATATTTTCCAAAACAAGTAAGGCTGACAGTGGAATATAATTTTCATCAATAAAATATCTACTATGTCAACTAAATATTATGGCTTTCTTTTTTTTTCACTTGCTATATTTATATCATTGTTCTTAGTCTACGCTTGCTATATTCCATTTAAATGCGTTTAAAACCATAAACAAGCAAGTATAATGCAAACCACTATGACTCAGAAATATGCAACCAGTAAACCAACAACTACATGTTTGCTAAATTACTAACAAGAGAATTTGTACATCTGTGGATTAACAAGATAATACACATTAAATCTGAACAAAGAGGGAAGGCACTTGAACAGAGATGCAAACATGCTCATGGTGAGCACTGATAAAACTCAAAAGGAGAAGTCCTGTGGCCTATAACTATGACTTTGTAACTCACTGCAGAACAATGAAAGTCAGCAACAAAAAACACAAAGTCATAATTGTAAGAATAAGACAAGGTGGGCAGCGACCAAAGGAGGCAGATTTAAAAAGGCTGCTGAACAAGGCTTTATTTGAGATTCACTCCTGGGCGGCAATTCATCAGACCCACAGAGTGGACAGGAGAAGGGTGTGAGGAGAAACCGCATGGGAGCTCCACTGGACTGGGATTTTATGGGGCTTAGGCAGGAAGGGAAGGGCTTGGGACAGGAAAAGGTGTTTTTAGAGTCCCTTGTCCCTCTGGAGTTGGTTGCAGGAAGCTGGTTGAACCCCAGGATTGGCCAGGGGATTCTGCTGACTGACAGGCGATTCTGTCGGCACCTGATTGATGTTTTTTTCCCAAGGGCAGGCTGCTTCACTGCCACCAACCTGACAATAATGACTCTGGTCCATCCCTACATCCCTATTTTAGCAAAACATAGCACATCACTTGGCAAGACTGTCCTATTAAAGATTCAGGTCCAGGGGGCTGGGGCTGGGGCTCAGCAGTAGCGCACTTGTCTGGCATGTGTGAGGCACTGGGTTCGATTCTCAGCACTCCACATAAATAAATAAAATAAAGGTCTATCAACAACTTAAATAAATAAATAAATAAAAGAGTCAGGTCCAGAACCTTTAAGTAAAACTAGGGCGTGGGTTGTGGCTCAGTGGTAGAGCGCTCGCCTAGCATGTGCAAGGCCCTGGGTTCGATCCTCAGCACCACATAAAAAAATAAAATTAAATAAATAAATAAATAAATATTTTAAAAAAGAAGTGGAACTAGGGGAAGGGGAATTTAGCTCAGTGGCAGAGTACTAGTGTAATTTTCATCAGTTTTGTGGTATCAAGTCTGCAAAAAAAAAAAAAACAACCCTGGGAACCAATCTCTGAAAAACCTGACTCTGAACACTAGGAAGTGCTTGGAAGGCAGCTCATAAAAGTCCTTGTTTTCAAATTTCTTTCCCCTTCAGAATCTACTTTTTCAGAACCATTCCTTGCCCACACCCTTTGTGAGTGGACTTCATGCACCAATGCTGCTCCCCACTGGTTCCACACTCTGGAACAACACATAAATGTGGAGCCTTTCCACTTCTTGAGAAATTCTGCCACCTCTGGCTCAAGAATGTCCAGAAGGGCATTGTTTTCCACTGCCCGATTTCTAATTCTTTAGGATCCTTGCTACTTTCTCCAAACAGATATTTTGAAATTTTAAAGACTCTAGTGAAAACACTGTCATTCCCATTTGTGGGGAGCTACTCTGAATGACCCATGCCTTCCATCCTGAACCAAGAGGCTCTGAACAATCACTTCGTGACTTGGGCATTGCCCCAGCCCAAGAAGTAGAAGGAATGTCTTCAGGAGCTATACTCAGCTATTCCTTTGTTATACTACACCTTTGCCCTGTTTGGAATAGAATGGTCAACGAAAATGCCCTCTGTGTGTCCCCTTCTCTTGCTCTGCCTCTGGGTGTGGCCTTCCTAGATATCAGTCAATCTGCTGACAGCAGACACCACAAGCTAGACTCAACGCCCGGTATCTCTGTCGCTTGCGTGGTTATTTCCTGCAGCCCAGTAAACTCAGGAGTGACCCTGAGTGTTTCAGTACTGAGAAATACGACACCCATTTAATTAGAATCTGTGAGGACTGCCCAACAAACTGTACTGTAGTGATCCTACATGTCACCTTATGCTAAAAGTGGTATTTGCAAAGCACAATGATTCACTCTGTTATCTCCCCAGTATAACTATCATTATTGTTGCATCAGACTATATCCATAGAAGGAAAAAAGTTGTAGAGGTGAAGGTACATTTCAAACAAAATCTGCACGTATTACTCCATTTTAAAACAAGATAATCACATATATTAATATGGACTGGGCCTGCTATCAAAGAACACAAGCAACAATAACTCCCCTACCCCCAACACTCCCGCAATAAAGAAATTCTTCCGACCTGCCTGGCTTAACTGCAGATCATCAGGCCCTTATTACAGAAGGAATGCTGCAGAGTGGCCCGAAGAGCCTGCACAGACAGGCCTGGCTGGGCCACCCCCAAGTTCACTACCATCAACTCACACACTTCTTTTCCAATCATGTTTCTACATGGCTGTCCCTGCCTCTTCAGACCTGAGCATAAAAATGGGGAGTTCACCCTGGGTCTTTGGGTCTTCATTCTGAAGCCTCCAGTATTACATAAGACTACGATCAAGTAAATTTGTTATGCTGGCTGGGCACAGTGGCACACACCTATAATCCCAGTGACGTGGGAGGCTTAGGCAGGAGAATTGTAAGTTCAGGCCAGTCTGGGTGACTTAAAATTTTGAAAGGGATGGAGAGGGGATTAAATTATGCTGTGTGCTTGTACAAATAAGTAAAAATGAATCCCAATATTATATATAATTATAATGCATCAATAAAAATTACCATTAAAAAATAAAAAAATAAGGGGCTGGGGTTGTGGCTCAGTGGCAGAGTGCTTGCCTTGCATGTGTGAGGCACTGGGTTTGATCCTCAGCAACACATAAAAATACATAAATAAAGATATTGTGTCCATCTACAACTAAAAAAAAAGAATAAAAAATTTAATTTAAAAAAAGGACTGAAAAGTATTGCTCAATGGTAGAGCACTTGCTTGAGGCTTTAGGTTCAGTCTCCAATACCACTAAATAAATAAATAAATAATTTGGTTATGCTTGTCTCCTGTTAACCTGCTTTTGTTATAGAGTGTCAGCCATGATCATCAAGATGGGAAAGAGAGGGATTGTCCTCTTACTGTTTCCCCAAACATGCACACATCACCTACAGACACACAGGTTCCCATGTACACAGGCACACTAACATTTGCACACAAACACATGTGTGTGCTCACATGGATGAATGTGTGTGTACACTTGTGTGCATATGAAGCTTGTGAACTCAAACAACTTCATGCACTCACAAATGCACAAATGTGCACATGCAGAGCGCACACTGCCACACCAACATGCTTGCATATGCCCATATACTGAAGGAACCAGGCCACCTCTGCCTGGAGCCCTGGGATTTTCATTGCCCAAAGGTGACAAAGGTAGACCTGGGCTTTCTATTGAACCTTCACGGCCTCCTGGTTTGAATAAACCAGCTGCAGAGGCATTTGGGGTAAAATTTGGAGAAATCTGACAATAGGCAAGATATGAAATGATGTTCAAAAGCATCACTAATTTTGTTGAGAATAATTATTTACATTGTGGTTTTAGAGGGAACTGTACATTACTGTATCTAGGGGTAAAGTGTCCTGATGTTTTTATTTATTTTATTTAAATGTTTAACCTCATAGTTACGCCATTCAGTGGTCATCTCCTAGGGCAATTTGTTATTCTTACAAGGATCTCTCAAGCAACAGAAGTTGGACACTCCAGGAAAGAGGAAGCACTGGCTCTGAGATCAGCCTCAGGCCACCTGCCAAACAAGAGCCTGGGATTCATGGCCTTGGTATCCACCAGGCTGGATCTCACCTACCTGTCTCTCTCCAGTGGCATTGAGGGCAGCTCAACTTGGGGGCCCCGCGGGAAGTCTTTCCTGTCCTCAGGCTGGTCTCAGCTGGGCTCCTCCGGCATGGGTGAGATATGCAGAATGGAGCCATCCTAGGACCAGAAAGTTGCTAAGTGAGCTCGGCGGGGATGTGAGAAAGCCATGTTATCAAGCAGAGGGTTTCTGAGGGACATGGGAAGGTCCATGTCCTCCCTGCCATTGCCATGCAGTGGGAGGCCAGTCATCTGCACAAAACCTGCAAATGGATATTTATAGCAACTCTTTTCATAATTGCCAAAATTTAAAAGCGACCAAGATGTCCCTCAGCAGGCAAATGGAAAAACAAACTTTGGAACAGCCAGATGATTGATGGATAGTTACTTAACACTTAACACGGTCAGTGGACTCCTTAACTCCTGCCCCCACCAAGGAGATCTCCCATGTCAAATCCCCAGGGATCATCCCACCACTTCCACCCTGAGCAACAGTGGTATGCAAGGAGACACCTATGTGAGAAACCCTAAAAGTCTATAGGCCTGCAAAAAGTTAAACAGACTTATTATGTGACCTGGAAATTCCAGTTCTGGGTCTATACCCAAAAGAATTGAAAGCAGGGACTCAAAAGAGACTTTGCTGCTGTGGCATTCTTGCCAAAATGCATCATCATGAGAATTAGCTCAATCAATCTACTCATGGAAAGACACCAGGCCAACACAGAACAGGGACATTCTACAAATTAATGGAGGAACAGTCTTCAAGTGTCAGACCTGGGAGAAGGAGAAAGACTAAGGAGCCATCCCAGACTGAGGGAGACTAGGGAGACATGACTGCTAAAGGAAAAATGGATCCTGAGTTGGGTTACAGACCAGAAAAGGACATGAGTGTAGAAAAGCATTGCAGAAGATGCTCCTGTCACCCCACCACTTAGGAGACAACAGGGGCTTAGGCAGGACACAAACAAGAGGAGCTCATGGTCCTTACTAAGGAATGCAAAATTCTATGGCCACTCTGGAGGACAGTTTATCACTTTCTTTTTTTGTTTTTGTAGTACTGAAAGTTAAACCCAGGGCATTCCACTTGCAAAGCAAGTCCTCTGCCACTGAGCTACATCCCCAGCCCAGTTTGTCAGCTTCTTACAGAAGTAAACTTACTCTTGCCACATGGTCCAGCAATCATGCTACTTGGGATTTACCCAAAGGCATTAGAAACTTACATCTGCACAAAACCTGCACATGGATATTTATAGCAACTCTTTTCATAATTGCCAAAATTTAAAAGCAACCAAGATGTCCCTCAGCAGGCAAATGGAAAAACAAACTTTGGAACAGCCAGATGATTGATGGATAGTTACTTAACACTTAAAAAAAGTGATCAAAGCATGAAAACACATGGAGGAAACATTAAATCCCTGTTACTAAGTAAAAGCATTCACTCTGAAAAATCTGTTGTATGACTCCAACCATATAGTTTTGGAAAAGGCAAAAAGTCAGAGGCAAACAACCAAAACATTGGTGGTTGCCAGGATCTGGTGGGGAGGGAAGGATGAGCAAGGGAGCATAGACGATGCTCATGGCAGGGAGACTGCTGGACGACAATACCGTGGCAGGTACTTGCCTTCTAAGTGTCCAAACCTACAGCATGACACTACAAATGAATTCTACAGTAAACTATGCCTCTGGTGATAATAATGTGTTGGCATGTCCACTAACTGTAGCAATGGACCACTGTGGTGCTGTGTGGGATATGGGTAATGGAGGTTCGTGTAGGGGTGGGGGAGATGGGAACTCTGTGCTTTCTGTTCCACTTTGCTATGAACCCAAAACTTCTCTAAAAGAGAAAGTTTATTAAAAACAAAAGACAAAAACCAAAGTGAGACAGATGTCTGGAAAGGATGGGGAAGCAGGGCAGAGTAGAGGCTTTTCTCAAACAGGAAGCAGATATGCAAGAGGTAACTGAGCCCACAGACCCAGAAGAGCAGCCCAGCACCCTGACTCATCCTGCTCTCCATTGGAAAGCACAGACAGTGTACTGCCAGAGCCTGAGCAGGAGAAGGGGGTGGGGTAGGGAGTGCTTTGGCTGAGCCTTCCTCATGCCATGCATCGCCCACCCCGGCTAAGGTCTAGAAGTTTCTTCTTTCTTTCCTCTGGAGAGTTAAGTCCAGGGTCTATGGTCTGGGGACATCAGGCCTCCTTTATGGCATGCGAAGATCAGGTATGACAGCATTCATGCTCAATAGCCAATGCAGAGGCTACCTCAAAGCCCTCTCCCCTGCAAGCTCACCAAGCCTATCCTGACAAGACACCCAGAGCAAAGAAAGACCTAACTCTTGAGATCTCGCCACGGGTCCCAGAGGACACTTCTCTAGGTCATCAAGGCAATAAGGCCCTCTGCTCAAGGAAACTCAGGAATCCCTGTTGGGCTTTGCCACTGGCAGAAATCCTGGTAATAGCTAAGGATTAGAGAGGTCCTAGGAGACAGAACAGAGTGGCCTGGTCCTGTGAGTGGACCTCCTCCACTATCTCTGGCCAAGCCATGTCCATCAGAGCCCAGGGAGGGCTGGCCTCATCCTGAAACCTGCCTGAATCCCCAGCCTGTGGCTCTGCCTGTCCTCCACCCTATTGCTCTGGCACTAGGCAGTTGGTCTACTGGTGTTTCCAAATTTTCTCTTCTGTTTCATAGGGCCTGGCACAAACAGGCCCCAGTGCCACGGATGGGAGAGGCTGACTATGGCCTGAGCCTGGGGCGGGGGTGGTGGGGGATGACTGGCAAGCAGGACTCACCTGGAGGGAGCCAGACATCACTGAGTGCAGCAGCAGCAGGCGGTCTAGTGTGCCCTCGCTCCGCTCCTGGGAGTACAGCCGGTACTGCTTGTCCAGAGACTCCGGAACCTGGATACCACTGTCTGAGGGAGCCAGGAAAGCAGGATTAGAATGAGGAAGGACAACCCCTAGAACCAGGCAAAATGTCCACTACTTGTTACAAGACAGTATTGTGTACCGGAAATTTGAAGGCAAACACTCCAATCTGATAGAAGAGGCTTTTCTGTTACATTGTCTTTGCTTCTGTCTACTTAAAAAAAAAATTGTTCTTGTCTTTGCAGTGCTGGATATTGAACCCAGGATCTTACGTGTGGAGGAAGTGCTCCACCACTGAGCTACACCACCAATACAAGTTTAAAATTTTTCTATTATGTTCATATATTGCCTTTCAGTCATAAAATAGTGTTATTAACAATTCTTAAAAATACTTTTAGTTGTAGATGGACAGAGTACCTTTATTTTGGTGTATTAACTTTTATGTGATGCTGAGACTCGAATGTGCTAGGCAAACGCTCTACCACTGAGCCACAACCCCAGCCCTGTTATTAACAATTCTAAAGTACAAATAAAACTTAAGTTAAAAATTAAAGGACCTGGGGCTAGGGATGTGGCTCAGTGGTAGATTGCTTGCCTAGCCTGTGTGAGGCACCAGGTTCGATTCTCAGCATCACATAAAAATGAATAAATAAAAAAAGTATTGTGTCCATCTACAACTAAAAAAAGAATAAAAAAAAAAAAAAGTTAAAGGGCCAGGGCTTGGAATTTAGTTCAATTGGTAGAGTGCTTGCTTTGCAAACACAAGGCCTTGGGTTTAATCCCCAGCACCACAAAAAAGAAAAAAAAAAATGTTAAAAGACCACTCTTAGGGATCTACCCAAAAGAATTAAAAACATGTCTCAAAGAAAAACTCAAACACAAATTTTATTCACAATAGCCAAAAGACAGACCCAACCCCATTTCCCATAAACAGATGAATGGTGAACATAATGGTTAATCCACACATGGAATATGACTCAGTCATAAAAAGTTTATGATGTTCAGGGTGCAGCAGTGCATGCCTGTGACCCCAGCTACGTAGGAGGCTAAAGCAGGAGGATCTCAAGTTCAAGGCCAGTCTGGGAAATTTTATGAGACCCTATCTCACAATTTAAAAGAGAAAATAAAAAGAGCAGTGGGGGCTGGAGTTATGTCTCGGTGGTAGAGCATTTACCTAGAGTGTGTGAGGCACTGGATTCGATTCTTAGCACTACATTAAGTAAATAAATGAATAAAATAAAAATATTGTGTCCAACTACAACTAAAAAAAAAAAAAAGAGCAGGGGGTGTAGCTCAGTGGTAGAATGCCACTGGGTTCAGTCTCCAGTATCATGAAGAAAAACGAAGTTAAAGTAGGAAATTGCCAGGTGTGGTGTTGAACACCTGTAATTCCAGTGACATTGGAGGCTTGGGCAGGAAGATTGCAAGTTAAAGTCAGTCTGGGTAACTTAGCAAGACCGTGCCTCAAAAAAAAAAAAAAAAAAAAAAGTGTTGGGGATGTAACTCAGTGGTAGAGTGCTTGCCTAACAGGCACAAGGCCGTGGGTACCATCCCTAGCACTGCAAAAAAAAAAAAAAAAAGAAGAAAAAAAGTACGGTTATAGCTCTGACAAAATTAATTTCACTGCTTCTAGGCAAGGTGTTGAGTTATAGGGGACTTGCTATCTTTTCCAGAACATTCATTAATGCTGTTATAATTCATGCCTTTTTCTCATAATAAAGAAAATCATGTAATATCTCCCCAAAGGAAAACTATTATGCAATTTAGTGAGTGTTGACTGCAGGGACAAGATGACTATGGTATCTGCACACACTCAGGATGCTACACACTTGCACAACCATGTGAACAAGAGGAGACACAGGGGTGGGTATCAGAACACAAGATGAAGAAACATCTCAATTGGATGGTTAAGAAAGTGCAGGCATTTCTACAGATAAGGCGGTTCATTGTCCCCTTAAAGGGCAGTTTCAATAAAAAAGAAGTCAATGAAAAAGAAGGTAAGGGTGTGTGACATGCTCATGTGGGTGTAAAACCCCCATCCAAATGCTATCTCTTTGCACAGACCTCTAGAGAGCACACGCAGGGAGTTGGCAGTGGCCAGGCTCCCAGAGGGGAAGGGAGGAGCTGCCTGCTGTCTCTGCTCTGCTGCCACTGGGGACTGCTGGGGTTTGTGACAGCAGGCATGGTTCCAGAAAACAACCATGATGAATAGCGCGCCCCAGAGGTGGCCTACCCTGCATCAGCTGCCGCTGCTCCTGGATGACCTGCTCACAGAGCAGCCGGTGCTGGTGGTAGCGCTGGATCATAAAGTCCTTCTGGCACAGCAAGTTCTTCCAGTACAGGCTGTTGGCCTGCAGCTCCGTGTTCTCCACCTCTAGCTCGTGGGCCCTGCACAGCAGCCTCAGCACCTCCCGCTGGTCCTCACTGGTGACTTGCTCAGGCAGCAGCTTCTCCATCTGTGAGGCTTTCTGCTTGGCATGGGCCAGGCGTTGCTCCAGCCCGGCCTGAGGAAGACACTGAGGACTCAGGGAGGACATGGGACCCTGCCAGCCATGGCCGTTCATTCCTATGTGCCAAGGTCTACTGATCACGCTCAGGAGACACACAGTGGTAGGCTCTAGGATGTGCCACTGTCCCCTAGACTTTCTGTCCTCCACTTTCTGCATTCGGACACTTTGACACCTGGGGCCTCACTGATCCTGGAGTGGCAGCCCCTCTCAGCCTCGCCAACTTCTGGACAAGGCAAATGACTCATCCATGAGTTCTCTCTGTGGGACTCTCACACCCTGGTTTACATTCCACCTACCCTAATCTCCCCAGAGCTCGTACTAGACAACTAGGACAGCCCCTAGGCCCAAATTTTCTAGCCAGTCAATCCTAAACCTTACTAGCCTTCCTTGACTGTTTCTTCCTGCAGAAACCACAGTGAAGGCCTTGGTCATGTTGCTTTTCCTGCCTCTTAACCCACCCTGGTGCCCCCCATGTGGCCCTGCATGGCACAGCAAGCCCCTCTTCTTGGGAACCACGAGTAGCAAACTTTTTAATGGCAGTCATCTCTTGATCCGTCAGCCCCACTGAACCTCAAGTTTTCTATTGACACGTTGTGTTTTAGCTATAGCACCAGGGCTCACCACTCACCATGTGCCCAAGTGTTGCCATGGGAAACAGAGAATCCCACTTTCACACTGTGGAGCAGCCCCTACATCTGTCGTATGATGGATGGTCCACAGCCAAGGTTCTGGGTCTCCCAAACCAAGCAGCACATGAGAGGAAGCAGGAAGGGCTGAGGCCCGGCTCCTCCACTATACGCCCACAGACTGCTGTCCCCCTTGTAGGAAATGGGCTGGAAGCCCTGTCAGAGTTCTCCAGAGAAACTGAACCCACAGAAGCCCCATACAGATATAGACATATGTTGTGTACATGTCTATGCACATGTGTGTATATATACTAAAGTCAACTGAGTGCATATGCTAACCAGGCCTACAAAATACCTTCAGAGCAACGCCCAGCGTTTGATGGCATCACTGCATCCTGTAGCCTGAGGGTAACCATCATACCTCACAATTCCATCCAGGTAATAACCATCAAAGTAACCATCATACCTCACAATTCCATCCAGGCCCCCAGAGAGTAACATGTGGGCCAAGCCACCTGGTGAGCCCAGAATCAAGGTCCCCAGGAATGGGTCAGATGACAGTTTCCAAAGCACTGAGGAGCTGCATCTGGCCACCTTCTTAATTGGGATCAACAGGGGACCACATTGGAAGAGTTGGCCCAGCTCCCCAGCTGCTCTCCTCCTACTGGGCATTACTCTTTTCCTGAAGACCTCCCTGACTCCCAGGCTACACTAACAGTCCCTCCCCTCCCTCACTTGCCCCTGTTCCTGCATTGTTGCTATGCTGCTGTACTGAACTGCCATGCTGTCTCTTCCCACTAGGTGCGAGCACAAATCATAGAATGTGTCTTGTTCATCTTTAGGTCCCTAGGGCCTGTCATTAACGACACTTAAAACATTGATTTGAGTTGATTAACTGTTAACTAAGTAGTCAAGTAACAGACTTATCATTTACAGACTCCATTGCATATCAATATTCATGCTTGTTCTTGAAGCCATGCTTTCTTGTTGATGCATATTAGCGGCTCAGGCAGAAACCATTTTTCTTATTTTTTAGAAGTTGGAGGAAATCCAACTTTGAATTTTGAAGTGAAATTGCACGATCCCCATGCTGCAGTCAGATGTGGTAGTATCAAGTTCTTGGTTTGGTTCATAGCTTCTAAGTGAAATAAATCCTACCTGCTCGTAACAACATGATGTCCCAGACACTTTTTGCACTGCCTGAGAAGATACCTGCAAGCATTTACTAACGAGCTGCAACAGTACATGCTTCTGAGGAATCTCCAATATGCACCAGTTCAGCAATTTTCCTGAAGTGAGACTATTAGATAACCAGCTATTATATAAACAGCTCAAACGTGAAAAGACTTCCATCTCCGGAGAGGAACTTGAATGTGGCTTCCTTCTGATGGTACCCCTGGTCCTTGCATGATATGCCCAAGACCAGAATCAGGGGAGGAATGAGCCAGATGCCCGTGGAATCACTCTGCAAACTACAAAGTGTTCGCTCTGCATGGAGGTTATTGCAAAGGGAATGAGCGAGCTTTGCCATTCCAGGGTGTCCAGAGAAGGCGAGGCGGGCAGAGTCTCAGTGGAGCAGACACTGCCACTCCTGCCCCACTTTCACACACACAGGCTTCCTGCCCTGAGCTCCCCCTTCACTTCCTGGGGCAGCAAAACTCCTCAGGAGGGGGCAAAGGCATTGGGTCAGACCAGGTCAGGTCCCAGCTCTGCTCCTTCAGTTTACTCAATACATCTTTTTTTCTCCTGCTTGCACCACTGAGCAACATCCCTAGTCACTTCTATTTTTATTTATTTTTTATTTTTATTTTTTTAAAGAGAGAATTTTAATATTTAGTTAGTTAGTTATTTGCAGACACAACATCTTTGTTTGTATGTGGTGCTGAGGATCGAACCCGGGCCGCACGCATGCAGGCGAGCGCGCCACCGCTTGAGCCACATTCCCAGCCCCTCTATTTTTATTTTGATATAGGGTTTCACTAAGTTGCTAGCCTCAAACTTTCAATCCTCCTGCCTCAGCCTCCCAAATTGCTGAGAGTACAGGTGTGCGCCATCATGCTTGACTTAATTTATATCTGCACCTCAGTTTCTTATCTCTAAAATGATGGTGATTGACTTTATTCCATGGGATGAGCTCATGTTCACAAAGAGCCCACCCATCCATTGGTTCATAAGCACCATCCCCGTTACCATGAAAATGCTGCGTCTCTCTCCCTCACCTTGAGGGCCGCAGTTTTCCGCTGCTCAGCTAAAAGCAGGCCGACTTCCTCTCTGGCCAGAACCACTTCGTGCGGCTCCACAGACTCGCCCTCATCCACATCAGCATCTGCAGGCTCCTCATCCTTCCCTGGGTCACCCTTGTCCTTGTGCACGTGGTGGTGGGTCTTCTCCCGTTCCCAGCTGTAGCATGGCAGAGGGGACAGAGTGCAAGCCAGGGAGTCCTGGTGCCTCATGTCCCAGAGCCTTTCTTGGACCCAGCTGGCTACCTCACAGGTGTGGACATGAAAATGGAGCAGAATTGGATCTTCTGTATGATCTTTTCTCTACATATGATTCCCTCCCTGCTTGCCCAGGACTCCCTACAGCCACCTTGACTTTAAATGTGCCCCTGCTGAGCCTCAGTTTCCTCACTATAAAGCTGTATAATGGAGCTAGGGTTGTAGCTCAAAAGTAGAATTCTTGCCTAGCATGTGAGAGGCCCTGAATTCAATTTCCTGCAGCCCAGTAAACTCAGGAGTGACCCTGAGTGTTTCAGTACTGAGAAATACGACACCCATTTAATTAGAATCTGTGAGGACTGCCCAACAAACTGTACTGTAGTGATCCCACATGTCACCTTATGCTAAAAGTGGTATTTGCAAAGCACAATGATTCACTCTGTTATCTCCCCAGTATAACTATCATTATTGTTGCATCAGACTATATCCATAGAAGGAAAAAAGTTGTAGAGGTGAAGGTACATTTCAAACAAAATCTGCACGTATTACTCCATTTTAAAACAAGGTAATCACATATATTAATATGGACTGTGCCTGCTATCAAAGAACACAAGCAACAATAAAGGTTGGCAAGGATATGGGGAAACTCATACATTGCTGGTGGGACTGAAAATTGGTGGAACCACTCTAAAAAGCAGTCAGGAGATACCTCGGAAAACTTGGAATGGAACCACCATTTGACCCAGTCATCCCACTCCTAGGTTTATAGCCAAAGGAAAATCCGCATACTACAGTGACGCAGACACATTAATGTTTATAGCAGCTCAACTCACAATAGCTAAACTATGGAACCAACATAGTTGCTCTTCAACAGATGAATGGATAAAGAAACCGTGGTATATATACATGGAATATCACTCAGCCTTAAAAAGAATGAAATTATGGCATTTGCTGGTAAATGGATGGAGCTGAAGAATATTATGCTAAGTGAAATAAGCCAATCCCAAAGAACCAAAGGTCAAATGTTTTCTCTGATATGCAGATGCTAATTCCCAATAAGGGGGTGTGTGGAGAATAGAGGTATTTTGGACTAGACAGAGAGGAGTGAAGGAAGGGGAAGGGTCATGAGGGTAGGACTGACAGTAGAATGAATGGGACATTATTACCCTATATGCAGATATATGACCAGTGTAACTCTACCTCATGTACAACCAGAAGAAAGAGAATTTATACTCCATTTATGTAAAATGTATTCTACTATCACGTGTAACTAATTAGTATAAAAAATGTAAAAAAAAAAAAAAAAGGGGATGAAATCTGCCTAACTGCATGCAGCATGTCTAGACCAGGTGGCCAGCAGAGATAGGAAATGCAAATTATGAGTTGAATTTGGGCCAAAATTATGGGGACTTTTAATTTGAACAGAATCTTCTCACACACTCATGCATCATTTAACGTTCAGGATAAGGACTGAAAAATGTGCCCATAGGAAATCTGTCTTTGGGGGGCGTCACAGAGTATACTTACAGAGGCTAAGTTGGCTCCTATATCAACAGGCGATACTATCGTGTGAGATCAATATCATATATGTGGACCATCACTGACCAAAACATTATCATGTGGCATGTGGGTGTACTTGAAGGCTGTCCACTACAAGGGAGAGTGTGAACTTCTGATTTGCTATGAGAGAACCCAAGCAGCTCTGATGCTTAAAGACATCATGGGGAAATCGAATAAGCGGAGCATCTATGCAATTGGTTTTCCACAGCAACATGACCTGCTTCCTGACAGCCAGGACCTGAGAGAGAGCTGCCAAGGAACTCATGGTCACTTGGAAGGCTGCTGGGTGCTCATTGAACTCTGAACATCCAGGGCTGCAAAACTAGGTGGACACTCACTCTCAGCTGACAACACAAATCAACTGCATTTACTCCTGCTTGGAATGGGGTCATCAGAATCATGTAAGACATTAAAATGCAAAATAAAGCTTCAAGCACAGCATGAATAACAAACATGATCTTGTTGATAAGGTCCAACAGTGGCAAAAGAAAGTCTTGCAGCTTAAATATGGAATCAACCCAATGCCCACTGAGGGATAAACAGATGGACAAAAGATGTTATCTTCTCTTCTGCTATTCAGCCTTAAGAAAGAGGGAAATTCTGACCCCTTCTCCAGCAATGTGGGATCTTGAGGACAGTACACAAAGTGAAATGACCCAGACACAGTGGGACACATACTGTATGAGTTCACAGTCTTCGACACAGATGAGGTACCGAGGGTTTTCAATTTCATAGAGACAGAAAGTAGAATGGTGGTCAGTAGGAGCTGAAGAAGGAGAAGTAGGAATTAATGCTTCATTGGTAAAGAGTGTCTGTTTATGGTGATGGAAAAGCTCTCCAGATGAGTGATGCAGGTGGTTGCACAACAGAAATTTAAACTCATGCCCTACACGATGACGTTATGGCCAACGATGGAACCACATACATGAATTTGTCCCACAATATGACAGCACAGTGAAATTGTAGCCATCTCAGTTGGTGTAAGAGCACTCTAGGATGTTTATACAATGATGAATCACCCTATAACACATTTTTAGGAATATATCTCCATTATTAAGTGAGACATGCATGTAATTGACACCACTCACCCTCTACACACCACGATGGGTAACATGGCAAGTTTTCTACACATTTAAACACATTTTGTGGACAGAAAGATAAAACATGGATTGAATGCCCAGCTGGAAAGCAAAAGGCTGAGTTAGGACGTTTGGAAGCAGCTTCCCAGTTCCACTGGGTGCTGGGTCACATCCCATGCACTTCCCATCTTCTCAGCAAATACTATTCTCTGTCTTCAATGGGAAAATCTCCCATTTGTTTCTTCTTTCTACATGTGAGACTTTCCATAGGGTGCATGGGTGATAATGAAATATGCAGGTCAAGAGCAATGTCTGTGCTCCCAAATATGCTATGTAACTGAGAGAGATTGATTGGAACTGAGAGGCTAACCTGAGGTGATCCATAGACTCCCAGAAAGTGTAGACACTCTGGGAAAACCATGAGCATGGGTACAATTTCCTATGATTTTATGACCTCAAAAGGAATCCTTGTGTCAAACATGCCTAAGTGCAGAGTCTGTGTCCCCTTAACAGATTTCTGAAAACAGTGAAGACCAGTGGCACTTAGCAGATTAGATTTGCTAAACTGAGTGTTTCCTTTTAGGGTTTTCAAGTGATAATTCAGTGTACGTGGGTTCTTTTGTACATACTGAGCTCCTTCTTGGGAGGTCATGTCATTTCTGCCCTCCCCCTTCTTCCTTGCCATACTCCTTAATCTCCCACTGCACTGAACTCTGAAATGGAAATGCCCAGAGGCTGGGTATCTAACATGTGTTGTGTTGAGAATGGAGAGAAGAACCCATGTCTAGACAGAAGTGAAAAAGGGGTCAGAGACAAAGTGGACAGAGTTTGGATTAGTAGCAGCAGAGACCATCTCCTCTAGAACTCTAGGACAGGTGCACATTCCAGTCTGACAATTGCAGGTGTTTTCCTTCAAACTGGTTGCCAGGTTGCAATAAGCGATGACATCAGAGGCTTCCAACCTTCCTCATTGGAAGGGACAGACTCTGTTGACCACTGGCAGTGCAGTGGGCAACAGTTTGTCCTCAGTACTGTTCTTCACCTGGTTTCTCCTGTTTGGAGAAGAGCGAACAGACTCCTATTCAACCAACTTCTGGAGAAAGATTTATCTTAATAAGAACCTAGGTTTTGTAGAAGGAAGACAAGAGTATTGGAGAACTTATGGAGGATCAACAAATCTCCCAGTCTGGGCAATCGCCTTCCCTGCCAAGCACCTCAGAATCCCACCTGGAGGTGGTGGTAGATGATGAGGTGGCAGGTCCATCAGGTGAGGGAGCTAGAGTGAGAACTGATTTGACATGATGACTGGTAAGGAGGAAGGGATAGAGCAGCCAGAAAGGTGGGAAGCCCACTTTTGAAGTTCAGAATAGGCCACGGGACAAGGAAGTCCACATGGATGGAAAATCTGCAGAGAAAGGAATTGGGCTAGAAGATGAGATCTAAGTTCAGGAAATGGGTACAGGGGATGTAAAAAGGGTCACTCCACCCGTGAGAGAAAGTGTCCATAATGAGAAAGAGTTTTGAGGAACAGGGAGATGGGACAATGGTAAGGAGAAGACAGCTACCAGCCAAGCTAAGAAGGCAACAGTTGAAGGTCTGGGGTGTGGGAGGTGAACTGGGATCAGAGGATGAAAGGATGAGTTCCAAATACAGGAGCCTGACTCTGCTTCCTTTACTCAGCTCTGTGGGTAAAACCCTGCCTCCCATGTCGGTCCTCGAGGAAGAGAGAGTGGACCTCAGAATCTGAGGGAGACTCGGATGATGATTCCCCAGGGATTTTTGATTCAGTACCTTGGGTAGAATCTGGCCTCCTGCCTGAGACCACTGGCCTAAAGAGAAAGAGAGAGTCCTCCACTGAATCTGAGGATGAGCTGGAGGATCTGGAAAGTGAGCTAAATCACCCCTGGGATGTGGAGTCACTGTGTGGCTTCAAAATGAAACTCAAAAAACGGCGCATGAACTCGGTGCAACCAGAACACCATGAGGTTTTCAAGAGGCTTCTAGGTAGGGAGACACCCAGGTAGCGCCCTCCAATCCTGCTCTTTACACAAACAAGGAACTTACAGCCACTGCACTTTTCCAAAGAGCCCTGCTATCCATGAGATCCCCATTCCTGGAGGATTCAGGACCCCTGTACCCTGTGAAACTCTTAGATGATGGATGATTACATTACACCTGAAAAATGACCCTGCTTGGGATCACAGAGCTTGATTCCAATTATCCTCACTGATTGCAGACACTGTGGTTCTAATAGATTTCATCCTCCCTGAGCGGTGCCTATCAAACTAGAAAATAACATAGAAACTCTAATTCTGAGGTGGTG